ACACAGAGATAGAATTCAGATAGTACAAAGTCTGTATAAGGGAATAAACTCTGTGTGATTTTTTAAGTCAAATCTGTGTAAAAATTGAGACAAAACAGCAGAACTAGAGTTCTGTGGAGGCAAAGTCTGCACCAAACAGAGGCAGCTCATTCGTGGTCAGCTGCTGCCCTCTGGTGGCGAACAGGGTGTGTAACAATATTTGACAAGAATTGTCCAGTATATTAAATAAATACAAACGAACACATATCAACAAAGTCAGATAATATAAAAGAGGTCAATCATGGAAGGAGATTTTGAAAAAATTATATAAGCGTTCCAATTTCCAGAAGCTTCCGCGAGCAACTGGTCAGGTGCTACCATCTGGTGGCCAATAGGGTGTGGCACAAAACAAACAGACTAATGATAAATTAAGGTTTGGCTCCATCTGCTGGACATATTGTATATTATATTATTTTTAGAATTTGGACGAGAATAACAAATAGCTGTCCCAGTACCAGGGAGTCTACTAGAACAGTGGGGGACCGGAAGAAGGCGGACATTTAATGACTGATATATAAGTAATAATAATATATAATATATTGCTGATATTAAATAACTGATATATAAGGCATGATATTTCTGAAAATAAGAACACCGTCAACGGCATTCTATTACAGAAAAAGGGGGGATATACATCAGGCAATATGTATGTGAGATTATTACGTTTTTAAGAGAAATTGATAAATTTAAAAATACTAGCTTTGGTTATTTTTTGTTTTGTTTGTTGCTTTTAAGAGAAATTGATACATTTAAAATAATCTAGTTTTGGTTATTTTTTGTTTTGTTTTGTTTGTTCCTTTTTTGTTCGGTTTTGTTTTATTTTTGTTTTATTTTTTATTTTTTTGTTTATTGTTTTCTGCATAGTCTCTTGTCCACACTCCAGTCTAGTTGGTGGCGGTAATGCACCTACAAGTTGGTTTGCCAACCGCCAATAAACACTAAAGAAGTAGAAGAGATGAGTTCAAAACCATATTTCCAGCAACTTAAGGGCTTGGTATGAGACTTCTCCACACAGGTTGCTGACGCCAAAGGGGGACCCGAGAAACACGAGGCCAACACAGCAGAGTTCGTCTGGCTGAAAGTCATCAGGCCTAAGTGACTCAACCCCAGGTTTTCCGGCCCCTACCGAGTGACCCAAAGGACCTCCCATGCCGTCCGCCTAGAAGGAAAGGGAGACAACTGGTACCACTGGAGCCAGTGTGCGGTCGGGAAAAACACCTGCGAGGATCCTAGACGACATTAGGACAGATCTGGCCCTCGTCAAGGCAGTCGACCCAGAAGGCGTCATCAGCGGACCAGAGGAGGAGGATCGGGAGGACATCTCTCGAGCAGTCGACCCAGGAGGCGCCATCAGCGGACCGGAGGAGGAGGATCGGGAGGACATCTCTCCAGCATCGACCCGGAAGCCGCCATCAGCGGGCCGGAGGAGGAGGATCGGGACATCTCTCCAGCATCGACCCGGAAGCCGCCATCAGCGGGCCGGAGGAGGAGAATCCAGAAGACATCTCTCTAGCAGGCAGCCCAGAAGCCGCCGTCAGCGGGCTGGGGGGACAAAGACACGGCAAACCAAGACAGCATAGGGAAACTCCACTTCCAGCTGAAAAAGGTTGAGAGAGCCGGTGTGGAACTTTGTTTAATAATCAATTTTTTGAGGAACTTTCAACTTTATTTTTATATCCCATAATTGAAGGGATTTGTATTTTTTATTCTCCAGAACTAGGTGTTACCAAAAGAGGGAAAAGTTTAATAATGTCTTTTCTAATTTCTGTGGCTACTTTTATTGCCATTTTGGTGACATGTGGTTGTTGTTGTGTGCCTTGTATCCGCTCATTGTGTGTTAGACTCATCAGTTCCACCATTGAGAGAAAAGCTGCCCCTTCCTCTTCGTACCAAATGCCCTTGTTGGCTTATGCGTCGGAGGGGGAAGAGTACGATGACTCAGCTGACAAGGACGAACTTTAAAAAAAAACATATTTTATTCTCCCTCCACTGTCATAAGAAGTTGTTGTAGTGGACTGTTCCTAAAGGTTTAAAGTGCTCTAAATCCCAGCTTCTGATGGATTTATATAAATGTTGGGACAGACACAGTAGAAAAAAATGACAGTGGTTATGTTCCAAATGCTATATGTTGATCTCGTGAGGGATCCCAAAAGAGGGATTGAAGTAAAAAGATATGATTCTAAACTGTATTGAAGTAAACATGTATTATTTTGAATTGTATTTTAGTGAACATGTATTGTTTGAACTGTTTTAAGTAATCACATATATAGAAATTATATTCTCACTTACAACTCACTGACCCAGAGATCCTGTTTCACACACATACACCTCCTTCTCACCAGCACACACACACATATTCTTTTCAAGGTTCTTTCTGGGCATCATTATATTTGTGCACAAGGTTTAATTGTATGAGAAAGAATAGTTTATGTGAAATATCCCATGGGAAAGTAAGGGAGTGGATATCGGTGCAGAGATAAGATTGACTTTGCCCTTGAGGAACTTCAGAATCTCACGTTCTGGTCAGAACTCTGATTCGCTGTATTGAACCCGACCAGAAGTGAATCCAACCAGTAAAAACACCTGGGGGAGTGAGCAGCTCACACAGCTCCTCCCCACGGACTCTCTAATTCGCTTCGGAGTAAAATGGGAAGGAAGAAGTAAACACATCTCCGCCCCAAAATATGAATATGAATACTGTTGTTTTTGTATGTAAAATGCTTTCTTGTTTGATGAGTGGTTGGTCCCGATACCTGTGTCCGCATCGCATCACAAACCTGAAGTCAATGCTTCTAGTTTGCTGAGTGGTTGGTCCCGATACCTGTATCCGCATCGCATCACAAACCTGAAGTCCGGAGTACTCTGTAAAACTTGTATACGTGTTTTGTTTCCTACCAGTAAACTCAGATAATTGTTATAACTTTTGATTCCGGTGTTTTCAATTCCTTTCTTTATTAAATAGAGATCAGCCTCATCCAACGAACGGCGCGTAGCGGAGGGGGGGGCTATCAGCTACCACCATAGGTGTTCTGCTCCAACACACTTCATACGCCTGTTTCCCTTTATAAATCACAATCGACTCGAAATGCGGCGCAGCTTTTGCAGGCTTCACGTAACGCCCATATTTGCCTATAAATAGTCAAAGAAACGCCCATTCATTCATTCATTTTGACTGACTGCATGAAGAAGATCCCAGGAAATGACGACCGAACAGCTAAAAAAGACATCTCACACTGTGTCAGATTTGGGTTATTTTGGGGAGGTCGAGATAAATCATATTGTTTGGTGGATGCAGTTTGAACCAGAGTAGCAGCATGGAGGTCGGATCGTCACCAAAATAAATAAATAAGTGGTCCGAAAAAAGTTAAAGACAAAAAAAATACACATAATCTTCCTCAGGCAGTGTGTTTGTCCCGGGGACAGGAGACACTCCCTTGATGAGAAACTGTAAGAAATGATCGGGGAATCCCTCCGGAGTGGAGTCATGACGACTGGATCTGAATTATTTTGTTGTATTTGGTGGTTTGTGTTCCAGCTGTCGATCAGCAACTATACAGTATATCCATAATCCACCAGTTAAAGGAAATACAACTAATGTGTTGTGTTATATTAGCTGTACAATTTACCACATATGGTGTTCTTAGTTTCCATACCTCCTGTGTTTTACGAGCGACTTATCAAGTCTTGGCAAACGGCATAAAACTCGATTAAACGTGATAGTATATAAAACGATAGTTACGTCTGTAACTACGGTTCTATGAGTCCCGGATGACCGCCAGAGGCGGTGCTTTTAGCACTGGATATGTCCATCGTGCGCATGCGCAGTACGAGTACCAATATCAACAAAGTCACCTGTGACCCACGTGACACCGGCTATATCAGCCCGTGTCATCAGAGGATCTGTTCCCAGAATCTTCTCGCGAGCACACAAGAATTCTGAGTGACAGGAAACTCTGGCGGTCATCCGGGACTCATAGAACCGTAGTTACAGACGTAACTATCGTTCTATTTCGTCCCTACTGACCGCCAGAGGCAGTGCTTTTAGCACTGGATGACTTATACCAACCATGTCATGAAGAAACCAAATACTCACCTAGCTGGAAGCAGCGGAGCTTGGCAACAGGACCACGCCCAAAGGATGGGGAGTGGCGACATTGACCCGGTAGAACCTGGAGAATGTGCCGGAAGACGCCCAAGACGCCGCGGCGCAGATGGTCTCCAGGGGCACTCCTCTCAGGGCGGCCCAAGACGTTGAGACGCTCCTTGTAGAGTGGCATCTCACCCCTGATGGCAGGGGGCGGCCACTGGCCCCATAGGCATGTGCGATTGTATCGACAACCCAGTGGGACAGCCGCTGCTTGGAGAGAGCACAACCCTTCCTAATGCCGCCGTGGCAAACGAAGAGCTGCTCTGACTGCCGTACACAGGCCGTAGCATCGACATACGCTCTCAGGGCACGCACAGGGCACAGCAACTCAGGCGTGCGGCTCTCCTGTGGGACGTTAAAGCGTGCCAGCTGGATGGGCCGATTGGAGTGGGCAAGTGGAAGCACCTTGGGCAGGAACGCCACATTCGGCCAGAGGGCAACACCCGAGCCATCGGAGTTCCACCTCAGGCATGTATCGCTCACGCAGAGGGCATGCAACTCCCCAACTCGCTTCCCTGAGGTTATGGCAAGCAGAAATGCTGCCTTCAAGGACAGCCACTTAAGCCCTACATGGGCCAGGGGCTCGAAGGGAGGAGATGATAGGGCATCTAGCACTAGGGGCAGGTCCCAAGCCGGAGCCCTCGGGGTACTAGGGGGACGATGCCGTAAGGCCCCCCTCAGGAAGAGGGACACCGACCTGTGGCGCCCCACCGTGGCGCCGTCGACCTCGACATGTTGGGCAGAGATAGCAGCCGTATATACCTTCAAAGTGGAGTGAGAACGTCCACTATCCAGAAGGGACTGCAGAGCAATGCCCCGGATTCTCAGCCTTACCCAAACACCAGTGGGAGAAGAGCTTCCATTTGCACTCGTACTGTGCTCGAGTGGATGGTGCTCTGGCATTCAGGATAGTTTCCCTGACCGATGCCGAAAAAGCGCTCAACAGTGGGTTGGGCCCTGCAGAGGCCAAGCCCAGAGCTGGAGGCGGTGAGGGTCGGGATGCCAGATCTGACCCCTGAGCTGTGACAGAAGGTCCTTCCTGTCGGGGAGGCGCCATGGTGGGCCGCAGCAGAGACTGCGTAGCAGCGGGAACCAAACTCTCCCCGGCCAGCGGGGGGCGACCAGAAGGAGCCTGTGCCCCTGAGTAAGGACCCTCTGAAGCTTCTGTAATAACAGCGGCTGCGGCGGGAAGGCGTACAGGAGACTGTCTGGCCAGTCGTGTGCCAGAGCATCCTGCCCCATTGGGCTGGTCACCTCTGCCCAGGAGAACCAGAGGGGGCAGTGCCTCGACTCCTCCGAGGCAAAGAGGTCCACCTCGGCCCTGCCGAAAAGGCTCCAGATTGTCTCCACCACTTCTGGGTGAAGCCTCCACTCCCCTGGTGGAGGTTTGTGCCGAGAGAGGAAATCTGCCACCTGATTTTGGTCCCCTGGTAGAAAGACTGCCCGCAGGCTGGCCAAGCGGGGAGACGCCCAAGACAAGAGGCTCTGTGAAACCCGGAGCAGCTGTACGGACCTGGTGCCCCCCTGGTGGTTGATCTGGGAAACCGCGGACATGTTGTCCGAACGAACAAGCACATGCCTGTCCGTCAGTTGGGGTAAAAAGTGCCTGAGCGCAAGCAGCACAGCGCGAAGCTCTAGCACGTTGATGTGATATGCACCTTCCTGGGCGGACCACAGACCCTGAACAGTCCTGCCCTGCCACACAGCACCCCACCCTGAGAGACATGCATCTACAGTGACAGTCTCCCGGCGGGATGGGATGGCGCCCATGGGCGCTCCCATCAGAAGATAGGCCCTGTTTCTCCAGCGTGACAGAGAGTGAAGGCACTGGCGCGACACCCTGACCCTCCTGTGCCTGTGCCACTTGGCGTCCAAGTGAAGGCTGTTCAGCCATATCTGCATAGGGCGCAGCGACAGCAGACCTAAGGGCACAACGGCTGAGGCAGCCGTCAGTCTGCCCAAGAGCCGGAGGAACTGAATGTAAGGCACATTCTTGCCCAGCCTGAAGAGGGGGAGAAGGTGGGAAATATCGTCCACACGACGAGGTGTTAGGCAAGCCCTCATGGCGACCGAGTCTAGGACCAACCCCAGGTAAGTGACCCGTTGGGAGGGGACCAGGCAGCTCTTCCCGGTGTTTACTGTCAGGCCCAACCGGGCTACGTGACATAAGAGGCGCGCCGTATCCTGGGCCACTTGGGACCGGGACGGCGCACAAACCAGCCAGTCGTCTAGGTACGGCAGGACCTTCATGCCCTGTGCCTGCAGGGGTGCGAGAGCTGCCGCCACGACCCTGGTAAACACCCTTGGAGAGAGGGAGAGACCGAAGGGAAGCACCCGGAACTGATAATGCTGGTCCTGAAAGGCAAACCTCAGGAACTTCCGGTGGTGGGCCGCAATCGGCACGTGGAAGTAGGCGTCCCTTAAGTCCACGGTTGTGAACCACTCCCCCTGTGTGACAACACAGAGGGTGTCTGCTGTGGTCAGCATGTGGAAGGGCAGCACCCTCAGGAATCTGTTGATTCCTCTGAGGTCCAGTACTGGACGAAATCCGCCGACTTTCTTGCTCACCAGAAAGTACGCCGAGTAGAACCCCCCGGACTGAAGCAGGGGGTCCACTGGCTCGATTGCGCCCTTGGCCAAGAGGACGGACAGCTCTTGGGCCAGAGCTAAGGCCTTCGCCGGGTCGCTGACAACCGGCCGAAGGCTAGGGGCCGGCGTCGAAACTGCAATTCGTATCCCTGGGTTAGGGTGGAAACCACCCAAGGGTCGGTAGTACAGGCAGCCCAGTAGCTGAGCTGCTGCTGGGAAAAGCAGCCGACGACCGGCCCAGGGACTTCAGGGCCTAGCCCCCCGACCCCTTGGGGGGCGGCGGTAAGGCTGTGGGGCCCGGGGCTGCCTAGAGGGCTGGCGACCGGGGGCACGAAAGTCATTAGGAGGCGGTTGAGTAGACCGCTGGGACCTCCGCAGACCACCACTGAAAGCCAGTGGCAGAGTGCGGCTGCTAGAGGGGCCCCTGGGCCTGCTGGGAGTAGGCACAGGCCTACGTAGACCCGAGAGCTGCTGCCTGGTCTGTCTAGCTTGGGCAGCACGCTCTAGTGCCGCCAGGGCAGCTGCTCCAAACAGCTCCCCTGGTTCGACCGGCACGCCGCGGAGGACACTCCTACATGTCTCCGTTAGTGGTGACTGAGCCAGCCAAACCTGGCGTCGAGTCTGCACCAGTAGGGACATAACTCGTCCCAATTCCCTAGTCATTAGGGCAAAGGCCTGCAGTGAAGCGTCACTGAGGCCCAGCAAAGAAGGCTCAGCCGGAGCCTGCTGCAGAGAGGCGGAGGCGGCCAGCATTAGATGGGAGAGAGAGTTCCCGATACGACCCATGCGTGCCGCTGCGTCGTAGGCCTTACAGAGCAGTTCGTCAGCCTTAGGGCCTCATCAGGAGCCAGAATCAGGGAGGCGATGGCAGGCTCGATGGGTGGCATGCGACCCAGCCCCACCCTCGCCGGATCCTGCATGGCAGCCAGGGTCCGGCTATCAGAGGGGCTACGCCTGAAGAAGGCGCTAGCCTGAGCCGCGTCGGCCTGCGGAACAGGAAGCTGCAAGTGTGCCAGGGCCGCACGAATAATGGCCGCCATGGAGGCGTCCTCCACGCCCTGCAGAGAGCCCTGAGCAGAGGAGTGGGAAGCCTCCCCGGAAGTGAGCGGGGCCTCGTCCTCCACCTCTTCGTTGAAGAGGTTAGCCGAGGCCGCTAGTGACATGGCATCCTCATGCAGAGGTGCGGCAACCGAAGGAGGGGCAGGCGGCAAGCCAGCAGCCCCTATACCGGCCCCTGGTTGAAGGGCTAAGAGGAGCGACTTCATCATGTCCATGTCGGCGGCTAACCGATCCACCTTAGAGGACAGCCTGTTAGGGGGCGAACCCGTAGCCATCGCTCCCTCGGGTCGCCGGGAACGGCCAAACTGACCTAGGGGAAGATGCGACAAGGAGAGGTGTCCGTTGGCTTCTGCCAGACGCTCCTCTGCGACTCTGGCCGCTCTAAGCGCCCAAGGCATGCAGCTACAGTTCATGCAGGCGTCCTGCGTGAGACCCTCCCTCAAATGCTCGAGACCAAGGCAAGAGGGGCAGCGGTTGTGGCCATCCTCGGGCTCGAGAGAAGCCATACAGGCGCTACATGGATGAGCCATCATGTAGGTAGCCGGATGCAGCGTAACCGGGAGCGGGGTGCGAGAACACAGCCTTCACCAGTTACCTGCTGAACGGAAGGAGTAGAGCCCTGCTCCTACTCGCCGAACACGAGAGGGGTGTAATGGGGTACACCCGCGTTACTTAGCAGAGGGAGCGGGGAGCGAGAGCACTGCCTTCACCTAGCTAAGTAAATGAAAGTGCAAAGCTACTAGCAGAGGGAGCGGGGAGCGAGAGCACTGCCTTAACCTAGCTGAGTAAACGAAGCACGGAGCTACCAGCAGAGGGAGCGGGGAGCGAGAGCACTGCCTTCACCTAGCTGAGTAAACGAAAGCGCGAAGCTACTAGCAGAAGGAGCGGGGAGCGAGAGCACTGCCTTCACCTAGCTAAGTAAACGAAGCACAGAGCTACCAAATAAGGAAGCTTAACAGGGCAGCTAGCCAGCCGGCTGCTGCTCACAGTCAAGGAACACTCTTACCAGGAGCGGGGGTGAAAACACTGCCTTCACTGGTTGAGTAAAATAGCGAAACAAGCTAAGGAAACTGCTTCTAAAGAAAAACCAGCACGGGTAATCCGGTGCTTACCTCAAGCGTCAGCCAAAGTGGCTGACCAGGCAGGACACAGTTAGGCTGAGCCGCGCTACTGCTAACTAGCTAAACAAGAGGACACAACACAAGCTGGAACTCAGGATGCTAATGATAGCTTGGCGCAACGCCGCGCTATCAGAAAAGTACAGAGAACGCAACAAGGGCAACTCCTGGGAGAGGGGGCGGAAACGCTACCGTCACCAGAAAGTTCAAGCCAGGTAGCAACCAAGACAGAAATCAGGACAACCTAGCTGGGAGAGGGAGTGGAAACACTGCCGTCACCGACCAAGCCGACACCAACCTGTCCGTTGAAGTTTTCTGCGCAGCCGGCCGCAGCTCCTGGAGGACGGGTAATCCCGCGGCTCCGACTGGATCAGTCGCGAAGCTACACGCAGCCAGCTGGATGCAGAGAAATCCTTAAATCCAAACGTTCCAACTGAACGCTGTAGGCTACAATAGTGTAGCCACGGTACTCTCGCGCAGCGAGAAGATGAAAGGAACAGATCCTCTGATGACACGGGCTGATATAGCCGGTGTCACGTGGGTCACAGGTGACTTTGTTGATATTGGTACTCGTACTGCGCATGCGCACGATGGACATATCCAGTGCTAAAAGCACCGCCTCTGGCGGTCAGTAGGGACGAAATAGAACCATGCTCGTATCTACAACCTATAGAAATGCAAAACGGCGTCAGTTTAGACGTTATTCTGTCCTCCTGCTTACCGCATCATTTATGAGAAAACATTTCATGACATTAACACAACATATTCGAGGTGGTTTTAAATAACATTTCCGTATTTATTTATTTCTCCAAGTTATGTTTTTGTGTGCACTGAGGAGTCTCAAACAGGCGTTTGTTTAATCATTTTAAGATTGGCTTTAATCAATGTTTGAAAATGAATTCTTCATATTTGATAAATGAGAGGTAACATTTTATTTATGGTATTATTTCCACATATTTCTCTCCATTCTTCCTTCTGCCAACGGTGTCGCAGTTTCTCGGCTCTCCCGTTGTTTTGCTTAGTGCGTATGCATGGGTCAGAGTGTGCGTGGAGGACCGCACATTTTCCCGTCAAGTTAGTATTTTATAAATCGCAAACATTGCGTAGAAACTGGCGTACGCCATTTTTTGAGCGTATATCCCTTTATAAATGAGGCCCCTGGTGATGTGATTTATGTGGTGATTGAATTTGAGCTGACTGTTGAAGATGACTCAGAGTTTGCGGATATGAGGAGGGGATAGAGTGTTGCCGTCAAGGGTGAAATTGAAATTCTGGATGGTTTTGGTACGGGATGGGGGGCCGATGATGATGATGTCTGATTTGGCACTGTTCAGTTGGAGATAGTTTGTTTGCATCCATGCTTTTATTTCTGAGAGACAGTTGGTAAGAGTGGAGTGTGTTGTGGGGGTGATGGTTTTTGTTGAGATATAAAGTTGGAGGTCATCGGCGTAGCAGTGAAATTGAAGGTTGTGGCGACGAATGATCTTGCCAAGGGGGAGCATGTAAAGGATGAAGAGGAGGGGGCCAAGCACCGAACCCTGGGGGACGCCTTGGGACAGAGGAGCAGTGGAGGAGGTGCAGTTATTGATGTTGATAAACTGATGTCAGCCAGGAGAGTGCAGTGTCGGTGATGTTGAGTGATGATTCGAGGAGGGACAGCAGGATGGTGTGGTTGATGGTGTCGAATGCTGCGGTGAGGTCGAGGAGGATGAGGATGTTCAGGTTGCCGGAGTCAGAGGAGAGGAGGAGGTCGTTAGTGATTATGAGAAGAGCTGTTTCGGTGCTGTGTTTTGATCGGAAACCGGATTGAAATGGCTCAAAGAGGTCATTGGAGCTGAGGTGGGATTTAAGTTGTGAGGCAATGACATGTTCAAGTATTTTTGACAGAAAGGGGAGATTTGAGATGGGCCGGAAGTTGGACATGATGTCAGGTGTGAGTCCAGGTCTTTTGAGAATGGGTGTGACAGCAGCCAGTTTGAGAGAGGGGGGAACTGATCCAGATCTGAGGGAGGAGTTAATGATGGTGGCGATGAGTTGGGAGATGGCAGGAAGACTCTCTTTAACAAATGTGGAGGGCATTGGGTCAAGTGTGCAGGTGGAGTTAATTCCAGTCATGAAGTGGGACAGTTGCATGGGGGTCACAGGGGAGAAGTGGGACAGGGGCTGTGAGGTGAAGGGGGGGGGAGCCAGGAGGGGAGGTGGGGGGTGCTGATGAGGGTGTCAGATTGCTGTAAATGTTGCTGATTTTGGTTTGGAAAAACGAGAGGAAGGAGTTGGACTGTTCCGTGGTGAAGGATGAGGTGGCGTTGTCACAGGGTTTGAGAAGTTTGCTGATGGTGGAGAACAGACGCTTGGGGTTGCTGGAGCCAGACTGAATGAGTTGTGAGTAGTAATTAGACCGGGCTGCTTTGAGTGCGTTACTGTACTGCTGGAGATAGTCTTTGTAGATTTGTAGATGGACTGTGGTTTTCTTGTGTTGGCGTTCCAGTTGACGTTTCCTTGATTTCATTTGGCGGAGTTCGGGGGTATACCAGGGGGCAGAGTGTATGAAAGAGACATGTTTAGTTTTTGTGGGGGCCAGTTAACTGGTGCTGTTATAATAGTCCACAAGTTCAGATGGGTTTTCAGAAAGTGGGGGGGGGGAGACAGACATCTTGCAGGTAATGGAGGCAGTGATTGCTGAAGGTGAGATGGATTTTAGATTTCTGTAGGTTATTGTTTGTTTTTGCTTTTGGGCGGGGATGGGGATGTTGATGTCCATGATGATGGCCAGGTGATCAGAGATGTGAAGATTGAGGCTGGACAGATGATGGATGGTGAGACCAGTGGAGCAGACCAAGTCCAGGATGTGACCACAGCTGTGTGTTGGGAAGTTGATGTGTTGAGAGAAGTTGCAGCAGTGAAGGGTTTCCATAGATTCAGAGGCATATTTGCAGGTCGGGTCGTCAACATGAATGTTAAAATCACCTAAGAGGAGAACAGATGGGGATATGGCAGAAAGCTGAGTGAGAATGTCAGAGAGGTCGGAGAGAAAGGAGGTGTTTGGCTTCGGCGGACGGTAGATGATGACTGTGACCAGGGGCCTCATTTATAACGCCTTGCGTAGGATTGACGTAGGAAGGTTGCTTACGTAGTACAAAGCACAAAAATAGGTACATAAATGTTCTGCCATTTTCCGATTCACAAAACCTTGCGTACCGGCGAGGTAAGTGCGTACGGCACTTCCTACGCCTGTTTCCCTTTATAAATCACAATCGACTCGTAACGCCCATATTTGCCTATAAATAGTCAAAGAAACGCCCATTCATTCATTCATTTTGACTGACTGCATGAAGAAGATCGCAGGGAATGACGATAGAACAGCTAAAAAAGACATCTCACACCGTGTCAGATTTAGGTTATTTTGAGGAGGTCGAGATAAATCATATTGTTTGGTGGATGCAGTTTGAACCAGAGTAGCAGCATGGAGGTCGGATCGTCACCAAAATAAATAAATAAGTGGTCCGAAAAAAGTTAATGACAAAGAAATACACATAACCTTCCTCAGGCAGTGTGTTTGTCCCGGGGACAGGAGACACCCCCTTGATGAGAAACTGTTAGAAATGATCGGGGAATCCCTCCGGAGTGGAGTCATGACGACTGGATCTGAATTATTTTGTTGTATTTGGTGGTTTGTGTTCCAGCTGTCGATCAGCAACTATATATCCATAATCCACCAGTTAAAGGAAATACAACTTATGTGTTGTGTATTAGCTGTACAATTTACCACATATGGTGTGCTTAGTTTCCATACCTCCTGTGTTTTACGAGCGACTTATCAAGTCTTGGCAAACGGCATAAAACACGATTAAACGTGATAGTATATAAAACCATGCTCGTATCTACAACCTATAGAAATGCAAAACGGCGTCAGTTTAGACGTAATTCTGTCCTCCTGCTTACCGCATAATTTATGAGAAAACATTTCATAACAGTAACACAACATATTCGAGGTGGTTTTAAATAACATATCCGTATTTATATATTTCTCCAAGTTATGTTTTTGTGTGCACTGAGGAGTCTCAAACAGGCGTTTGTTTAATCATTTTAAGATTGGCTTTAATCAATGTTTGAAAATGAATTCTTCATATTTGATAAATGAGAGGTAACATTTTATTTATGGTATTATTTCCACATATTTCTCTCCATTCTTCCTTCTGCCAACGGTGTCGCAGTTTCTCGTCTCTCCCGTTTGTGTGCTTAGTGCGTACGCATGGGTTAGAGTTTGCGTGGAGGACAGCACATTTTCCCGTCAAGTTAGTATTTTATAAATCGCAAACATTGCGTAGAAACTGGCGTACGCCATTTTTTGAGCGTATATCCCTTTATAAATGAGGCCCCAGGGGAGTGGGACCAGAGAGTTTGAAGACCAG